TCTTTGGGCTCTATTTTGCAGCCAGTTGTTTCACTGCCTGTTCCTCTATCTTGTATTTCCTGAGCTTGCTCAGGAGGATGTTATGGGGGACTGCATCAAATGCCTTGCTAAGGTCAAGGTAGACTACATCAACCGGTCTCCCTGCATCTACCTATTCAGTCACCACATCATAGAATGCTATTAGATTAGTGAAGAATGATTTCCCCTTGTTAAATCCATGCTGACTAGTCCTGAGAACCGTCCTCTCTTCCATGTGCTCAGAGATGACTGCCAGAATGAGCCACTCCATGGTTTTTCCAGGGATGGAGGTGAGACTGACTGGTCTGTAGTTTCCAGGATCCTCCTCCTTGCCCTTTTTGAAGACTGGAGTGACATTGTATCCCCAAGTCTTTCTCCACAGGGCTGCTCTCAGTCTTTTCATGTCACAGTCTGTATTGACACTAGGGATTGCCCTGACCCAGGTGCAGAACATAGCACTTGGCCTTATTGAAATTCATGACATTTGCATGGGCTCACTCCTCAAGCCTGTCAAGGTCCCTCTGGATGGCATCCCTTCCCTCCAGCAAATCAACTGCACCGCTCATCTTGGTGTCATCTGCACACTTGCTAAGAGTGCGGTCACTACCACTGTCTGTCATTATCAAGGATACTAAACAGTATCAGTCCAAATTGTCCACCTTGATGGACCTCACTTGTTACTGATTTCCATCTGGACATTGAAGACAACTCTTTGGATGGAATCATTCATCCAGTTCCTTATCCATAAGGTAGTCAATCTATCAAATCAGTATCACTCTTAATTTTGAGGTAAGGATATTGTGTGGGACTGTGTCAAAGACTTTAAGGTAGTCAGAAGTAGAGGACATGAGTTGGTCTTCTGCTGTCTGCTGAGGTAGCCACTCTGTCATAGAATGGCACTGCATTAGGCATGATTTGCCCTTTGTGGAACCATGTTCGTTTTCTCTCATCACCTGCCTGCTATCTATATGCCTTGACATAGCTTCCAGAAGGATCTCTTCCATGATACTCAACTTCTGCCAGCACTAGAGAAGTGTGTTCCTGTATTTCGCAGTGGTGGCACAAAGCAATTGTTTTTATACTTACAAATATCAAGCTGAGGTTTGAATAAAGCTTACTTTTGGAGACATTTGGAAAACACTTCAGTCTTCAGCTGTGGATTTAATCAAGATTATCATAGAGAAGGGAGGGGTTCCATTGGTGTGTACTTGTCTTTCTAGAGCTTCCAGTTAGCTCCCCAATATGCCATGCAGTTTTGAAAACGCTACAGCGCTGGGAACAAGTTCTTCTCCGGCGTCTTGAGCTGTATGGGGGTCCACCTCAACATTACATTTCCATTCATGCGTCTGAAGAAGCCCTAGCTGCAGGTCCTGCATTGCTTCGCCATAAAACTTTGCTTGAGCCTACAAACACTCCATTCAGGTGAGTCTAATTTCTATAAACACTGACTACAATATCCTTAACGTACATGAAACGTTATCTTGTTAGTGCCTGTGATAGACCATAATGTTGATAAATATATAATGATGGTTCCTAGGTTTGCTCTAATCCATTGTGAAATTATGAGTACACATCAGAATTCATGCATCTCTAGGCCAAAGCAAAATGAGGAAAAATAATTAGAAGTTTTAATTTTTTAAAGTTCTAAGCTTAACATACAGCTTTTAAGTGTCTTTGTGGAAAAAAAAAAAAAAATATGGTTGACAGTAAAATAAAGAACAAAAATTTGCCCTGAGAGATAATTAAGGATGAGTGACAATTAATTAAATAATTGCCCCACCTTTGGAGGGAATAAAAATGTTCTTCTTGTGTCTTTTCCTAAAATCAGAGAAGAAATATTTACTATTTGTAGTATTTCCATAATTGTGACTGCATAATTGCATTTTCAACCAGCAAAGTATGCTCAGTGTCTTAAGTTGTCACTTTTAAAACAGATTTCTGCCTTGTTAACCATACAGTCACCTGTGGTTGCAGAATCCACAGAAAGCCTATTTGTTGTGAAATATCTCACAATTGTCACACTTAGTTTTAGTAACGTGGGATGACTGAAAAAGAACAGCTTAACTTGTATCTGCTGCCTAGCATTATTTTTAAGTTCCTATTTAAAGCAATTCAGAGTTTGATGGTTTTTGTCTAGGCATAAGAAGCTATGTTTATATTTATTGGAGCACAGAATTACTAGGAATAAGCATAAAAATCTGAAATCTGACTTGATTCTACAGTCCTTCCAGTTTTGTTACTGAGAAGTCATTTTTTCACGTTACACAGTGTTCCTAACAGGAAGTGTTAGTTGTACATTGTCCATGTGATAGGAGCACTCATTAGCAATAAACAGGTATGATTTATGTTGTAAAGAGTGAGGTGGACTAGTAAATAATCCGTGTGCTGACCTTATTGTTGCATAATGTCTTAAAGAGATTTTTCTCACTTGTCCTAAAATAGGAGGTGAAAATGCTACATGATCTTTTCCTTCTTTCTTTTGCACTTCTCACATGTAGGTTTGTCAGGAAGGTGGTACCAGAATGCTGCTGAGTAGGTCTTGTACAGTATTTAGAGAGCTGTTGTTTTGCTTGAGTATTCCTTCTCCATAGTTTAATTGGAATGTAAGACACTGCAGTATCTTACAAATATGAGCATACCGTATGTACTTATTTTCACTTGGTTCTACCGTATGTACTTATTTTCACTTGGTTCTGTAGATCTAACAGCCACGTTGCACTATCTGTGAAGAGGCTCTGGCAGTACTTGGTTAAACAGGAAGAAGTGCAGGAAACCTTTATCAGAAATATTTTTACAAAGAAGCGATGCCTAAACGAGGTTTGTACGGTATATAAAATTCATTAGCTGTTGCAGGTAAATCTATGAGCTTTTAGTTAAGCTGTTTGGCTGACTTGTTTATATTCTGGAGCATGAGTGGATACTATCCTTGAGTGTCACTCTAAACCTACAGTATTTCATATTAAAAATATTTGTCCATTTATTCATTGACAACAAAAAAAAGTCACTTTTACTGCAGACTGAATGCTAACACTACTTAGATACAGCCTGCCTCTTTGTTAAGATCAGTATAAAAGCTGCCTCAAGAATTGACAGACTTGAAAGTTTAAAGATTAAGACCAGTAAGCTGTCAAATGTCTAAAAGTTTGGGTTTGCACCCACCATAGTCATCCTGCGTTTATCCACTGTTTGCTAGCATGTTATGGTTCAATTTTAGTAAGAAAAATTATTATACAACCATTGATATTTCTACCCCTAATACATTGTCTCAGTGTCTAGCTGGGTTTCAGGTTCCAGATTCAGTTACATGTTTTAAAATTGTGGTTCTGTAATGGAGTTCAGGATTGTTTTTTGCCCTCTTTAGTTGTTGCTTTTCTTTCTTACTCAACCCTCCTCCCAGTAATTCAGAAGAATCACTCGCATTCTAGAAAACCCGTGGAGTGGCAGAAATACGGGAGAAAGAAGCAGATCCAAACAGATTAAACACACAGGAGAAAGAGCATTCATGACTAGAAAAGCCAGGGCAGCAAAGAGTTCTGTATGAGCTAATCTTTGTCCTGTCACAGCTACAGTATTATGTTGTTTGAATATTTGAGGGTAGTTGTGTTTACTACTGACTGCAGTCAAAAGGAAGATTGTTCCTTTTATCCTTTTGAAGATGCAACTTTTCTGATCATATCTTATGTTAATGCAGCCATGTTCCTATGCTGTGTGGGAAAGTATTTTGACGTATTTTAGATGTACCTCAGACATTTCCATATAGTCATTGACAGCTTTAGACAGCATAGGCATGTTGGCTTTATTTTGTATCCTCTTGTTACTGATAAGCAACCTCCTTTGACATTTTATTTTCTAAGAAATTTCAATGCTCAGATGGACAAGATGCTGTTATAATACAGAATAAGTAAATCGGTATCCTCTGTACAGTGTATAAAATTTAGGATTTGATAATTACTCTTACTATGTAAAACACATCCGTCTGTGTGTGCAAACATGCTGTTATGCTTCAGTTGTTTGGTGTTGGTGTAAACAAGGAATTAAGGATTTCCTTGATACCTTGTATGTTATGTCTTACCTTTACTCTTTGTTCTGTTGTTGTTCTTTCCCTGGTGAAGTCATTAGAGGAGCACAATGAAACCATGAAAAATTCGGTGGTGGAGCCGCCCATTGTCAATAAGGTACCTAGTAATAATGTGCAAATTAATTAGACTGTTCTTCATTATGAATTTTTTTTAAAATGGTGCTGACCTCCCTTAAAAAAAACTTTGCTGACATAGCAAATAAACGTACAAATTCAATTTTAGAAGAGATTTGAGTTAAACTATTCTTGTTGTAGATTTATCTGAAGCTTAAAGTATCTTAGAAAGCTGGATTAAACAACTAGGTAAGAATAAATGTATTATCAAGTTCCATAGCTGCGCCAGCTGAAGAGCTGAGGTTGATATTTGCCCAAGTGACAAAAGATTCAGCAGTACTATGGGAACACAGTAGATACAGGAGCTTTCACCAGTACAAGATAGCTAAAATACTTGTCTGTAAGTGAAAGTGATGAATTGAAGTTAGAGCAGTTTGTTAGAGTACTAGTTTGCTACCAAAAATTCTTGCTGAGCCTTCGTTTTAAGATGGTGATAAATGAACCCATGTAACAACTTCCATGAAAGATTGTTATGTGAGACCAAAAAAGTACCATTCAATGCTTAGAAATGCCAACAAATACTGTGTTCTTCAGCCTTTCTTCTGCAAAATAAGTGAGAAGACAAACGCAAACACCCTGTGATGTCCTTGTACTACCTTGTTATTAGTTGTGTGATAAAGCAATACTAGCAAGTAGATAATTAGAAATGACTGGGGAAAAAATAATAATTTCATGCAGTATTGTTTACCACATCAGGTTTTTGTATCTGTCACTGTAGTTTTGTGCAATTTTACATATATAACACCACAGGACTATCAATTTTGGTTTTAGTTTTAAAAAATATGTTCTACTTTGTGGTGTAGAACAGCTACAGACTTTTTACACTTCAAAAAAGACTGCTTTCACATCTTCAACAGCACTGTCTACTAGTTTTCAACTAAAATATCTTTGTTTAAATGTTTTTAACACCAGAGAGTTAAGAAACTGAAGGGGATAGACTGGGAAACAGTAGTTCTGGAATAATTCTTTGTGATTTGAAGAAAATATAAAATTTTACAGTTGCAATTCAGGTTTGAATTTTTATGTCACCATTTGTTGTCAGTGGCATTTTTTTTTAGTGTAAAAGTTTACTGTAAAATTATACAACAGACCGACGCATGCAATCTTAAGTTTACTACTTGCATTGCTGAGCTCCTCAGTTTTGAACAGGAATACTACAATGCTGGTAGAGTTTAGAATTTTGTTGTGTGCTGGCATATACCTGGCTGCATTTCTAAAATACAACCAGGTAGACAAGACTGAAATGCAACTTTATCCTGTTAAGGGTTGGGGGGAGGAGGAGTGAAAGAAAATGTGATAGAAAAGAGTTTGTGGTTCTGGAATATGCAGGATTTATTTAATTGTGGACAGTGGTGAATAGATAAGCAGAAAAAATTCAAATTTAATTTTCCTGCTCAGCATCTTGCCTGCACCTTCTTTTGGACTATTTAATCCGCTTTGGTGGTGAAAAGCATTTCCTAAGAGCATGGAAAGACTTAGCAAATAAGGACAAAACATCGAGACTCAATTTTTTATCAACATCATCAAATGAATGTAGCCTCTCTGGTTTTCAGCATCCTTGTAAAACTTGATAATGAACACAGTGCTGTGAGTTCTGTGACAAATTACATTTTCTGTGTTGCATTGTTAATCTCAACACGGCAGTGGAAAGATTACAGGTTATATTTATTGTATTGTCTTAGAATTAAAATTCAGGAAAAAACAAATGAAATTTTATATAATCCGGTGTTTGGTCTCTGTACTTGTACAAAGCAGTGTTGCATAGAAGTTTGCATTTAAATACGCTTTACTTTTTAGATACAGATAGAAACAGATTCGGGATACCCAGGAGGCAAGGCAAGAATAATCCATAAAGAGTCTGACATCATTACTGCTTTTGCAGTCAATAAGGTGAGTATAAAGGAGGAAGGATAATCTAGTTGTGTTGTACTTCCACATGATAAACAGGTGGTAGTCCCATTGTGAATGGATGAGATAATCTTTGCCAGCCATCCTGCTGCAGCTTGAACTCTTAGTGCTTCCTTCTTTAAAACACTTTGTAGTTGTCTTTCCATAATTACAGCAGTTGTACTACAAGTTGTTTTTTTTCTAGTGTCCAGTGTCTTGAAGTAAGGGAGAGATGGCCTATACTTTTTCTTTAAGCTTGTGTGTAGGAGTAATTTTTCCTTCTCTGTTGAAGACAATGGGAATTCATCTCTTCTCCTCAACCATTTAAGCATTAAGAAGTGGAGGAGGGGTTGCAAACTCTGTGGTATAGTTACCTTTTGTCTTCTGAGGAAATCAAGGAGAAACTAGAGCTGCTTGTGAGATATATAAAATACAAATATTGTCTAACACTAACCCAGATGCAAACAAACTTTTCAAAGGCTTATGTTGAATTTAGACAGCTTATATAGATTTGTAGGCATAAATGTTTGGGGCTTGCAAATTAAGTGTATGTTTTTGTGAACAACTGTACCATACCATAACAAGAGAAAATTAATAGAAACCACCTTTTGAGTATTCCTTTTGCATCTGCCTTTGTGTGTTATTTTTTTTTTAGGCAAATCGAAACTGCATTGCAATAGCGTCGAGTCATGATATTCAAGAATTAGATGTTTCTGCAATTCTGGCCACACAGATCTACACCTGGGTTGATGATGACGTGGAAATAGAAAACAAAGGGTATACTTTCTATGCTACCAGTATCACAGCTCGACTCTGTGTGAATTAGTATAACAAAGCATGATATTTAATGTTGTTGGTTTGAGTCTAACATATAATGTTGTTTTATTTATAGGGCTGATGATTTCTTAGTTATACATGCTCGTGATGATCTGGTAAATGTTCAGGGAACCACTCCTTATACTCATAGTAATCCTGGCACACCTATCAATATGCCTTGGCTTGGTAGTACACAAACTGGCAGGGGTGCATCTGTGGTAAGTTGCTTGTCAAGATTAGCCTTATGTACTCTATCTACTTCTCTCCTTTTGTCTTTTCAGTGTTATTAGTTGTATATTACAATTAGCATGTAAGTAAATGTAGCTTTTCTGTTTTCAAGGCAAATTGTTTTTTTTTTTTTTTTTTTAATCATCCAGTGAATAAATCTAAATACTGCACAGAGTTTAAGATACACCAACTAAAGCAAGGAGTTTTTAGTCAAGCCATATATGCTTTCTTTGCTTAAGCTACCTTGTTTAAAAATAAGGAATCAGAGTTCAGGTAAGAAGTTGCTGCTTAAATTGTTCTTTAATGACCTGAAGCCAAACGCTGCATCTAAAAAAGCATGTGTTCAGGAGATTTTAGGACTGAGTAGACATATTGGCCTGAAAGAGCAAGGTAGCTTTCACTTGCGGTTTAGTCTTAAATTTTATTCTGAGATCTAGACTACTCCAGATTTTATTTAAAAGTAAATAACTACTTCTGTTTTGTGTATTAGTATGAGCCTGTGTTATAGAATGACAGTGAATGAACTCCTAAAGCAAGATTTCATTGGTAGGACAGAGGCTGAGATTAATTAGACTCTGGAAACTGAACAATTTAATCTTGGGAAAATGGTGATTCTTGGTTTCATAAGAAAAAATGAAGAAGGCAGAACTACAAACATGCACAGTTTGAACTGTGGGTCACGCTGATGTACGACTGTGTATCTCCAAAGCTGTTCTTGACTCTGTCTTGTTGGAAGTGCTGCATGGTTTCACTGTAACTCTGCATAGTAGTGTTATTAAATATCTCACTTCTGAAGATCACTTTTTAGAGGAGATTCACTGTTTGGCATTTCTGAAGTACACTAAACTGAGGGACACCCAATAAAATGTGACTATGTCCACGTGAGCAAATCAGTCCTTATCACAGAGGTGACACCAGCACAAGACTAGCTTTTATTTTTAGGAACAGACTGTCTGGAATGAAGCTTGGACCTCAGCAAAAAGTTGTTAGCTCAGATTTAATCCAAATCAGATGATAATTTTGATCTGGCTGTTGACATACCTGAGTTCCTATGCAGCATAGATACCCTCTAATAAACGCAGATCTGTTGATTGGTTAGCTAATCCCAGCTGATCCCAGGAGATGCCTGGGAGAGGCTTATTTGGAGACACTTAACAGGGCTGAAGGTGTCACACAAGATACTTGTATCTCCCAGCCTATCTGCACATACATGTGGAGTTTTCCTAGATGCTTGAACGCATTGTCCTGTGACTTGGCTGCACTTTGTGGCATTGAACAGCTCAGAGCAAGTCCAAGTTTCAGAATCAAAGAACCATATGTGACATCATACTGAAGTTGATTTTTGAAAACGAGTGGTGATTAGAAGGAGCAAGTAAGGAATAAGCATTATAAGAATGACAATGTTATCCCCACATGGAAGTGGGTATTGTGCCAGTACCTACACCGCTCCCTTCTATTTAGGAACTTCTGATCCTAGTTGAAACTGATATCACAATGGGGTCTCTTCCGCAAGCATTCTTTGAATGCCTTTGCCATTTTCTCCTCACTTTGATTTTTATAGATATACACACGTGTAGGATTTTTGTGTTTGTGTATTTGTCAACAAAGTCATTATATAGTCTGTTAATGGAAACTATTCTTACATTACTTTTTATTTGATATGTAGTAACAGTTTCTTACCAAAAGGTACATGGCTATGCTTGTGTTGAATGTGTTTGCTGTTGAACATTAGACCTAAATTTTGTTTAGCATGCCGTTTGTCAGTGTCAGAGTAGAGAAACAACCCCAACACACAATGACACCTGCTCACTAGGGAGGGGACACAAAGGCACTGAATGAAGGACAAAGTAGATGAAGGAATTTGTAGGGATTCTTGGGAAGAAATAGTGTTTCTGTGGAAGGACTCAGACCTAGTGGAAAACAAGCTTCACCAAAACCTTTCTGTTGCTACAATTTATTACTTTGTTCCTGCAGATGCTGTTTTTGATCCTTGTTCACATCTTTGCTTTTCCATAATTTGCAGGCCATTTAGTAGATATACCATGACTGGCTTTTCAGTCTTGTCTTTGCCTCACTTCCATCAACAAATTTAACTATTTGACTTAGGATGCTTGGGCAGTTAGCAATGTTTCATTAGGTCTAAGGTTTTTCTGTTATTCTTCTTCACTGTTCCCTGTAATGCAGTTCATACAAGGTAAGTAAGGAGGCTCACCACCAGATCCTTCAGTACTGTGTGTTTACACAGTTCTTAGAGGAGGTGTTTCTAAGAGAGCACAGAAATAAACAGCATATACTGTCAGCTTTGAAACTCAGGTAATATTCAACAGCTTGTCTTCCAACCCAGTATGACAGACACCACTACTCACAGGTTTAATAGCTGGAGGGTCAATTTTAAGCTTCTTTGTTCTTGAGTCTTACTGTACATTAAGCCCGCTCTCCAACAGAGCAGTCAGTGGTCTAGCTGTCAGCTCTTGTTAACGGGAAGCTGGCAGCTGGCATTATCAAATGTCAGTCACGTTGATAATGGAAGCGTTTGCATTTCTTAATGATACTTGGCTTCTAAATCAGAGATGCTGCACCAGAGATTTATGGTAGCGTAGTCTTTCAAAGGCACTTTTCTGTAAAATTGCATTTTTCCAAGGCAAAATCCAGTAGGGATTAGAAGATCACAATGCATGCTTATCTGTTGAATGAACAAGATTATTCCCTTGGCTTCTGGGTAAAAATTAGTAGCTGTAAAACTCAACACAGACCTTTGTTTTGTTGAAGAAACAGAATGAGCATGAGTAATTGTTCTTTTGCTTACACAGAGAGATAAATTCTAAGTTTAGAGAGTGAAGTATTGCAGCTATTTACTGATTGGTATATGCACTAATGCTTTAAACTTTCTCTGTTATCTTGTCCTAAGTCTTACAATGTATATATTATTTTATACACCCTTGTTCTACCAAACCACTGAGCTTTTTTTGTCATTTAGAGTACTTACAGAAATAAAGGAAAATATGTATTTGAAGATCTTATTTTTTATATTAAGGGAAGTGTTTTTAAATAAAGGTATTTTTGCATAACTGAGGCTTATTTTTTCTTTAAGAAATAATAAAGCTTTGAGGATTGGAAAATCTAAGTCTGCTTCCAAAATGTAATTAAGAGGATTGCAATTACTCCACTAACCCAAAACCCGGGAAATTTTAGCAAGAAAATAAAATATTTCCCTTCCAAGTGTTTTTCTTCCTTTTTGTTTGCAAACTGAACATTTGGAGAACATTGCTTTTCAACTCTTTGGATCATATTTAGTAATAAGAAGCAAGTAAAAGTTTGTAGTTCATACCTCCTTCCAGTTGACACTGATATGATTTGAGACCAGGGAGAATTGCATACTTAAAATACTCGACACATTATTTACTGTTTCAGTGACAAAACAGTGTCAAAATACTGTACAAAATTCTAGGAGGTGAAAGTCATAGTTGAACTCAATGATCTCAATGATCTGAAAGGGCTTTTCCAACCCAAATGATGCAAAGTAAGTAGTAAACTGCTCTGCTGAAAGGTTAAATAGATAGGGATTTTATTTTGTCTAATGTCTTCAGTCCTCTTTGTATGTGGAACTCTTCTCAGTTAGGAATGCATTAACTAAGAGAAACGTAATTTTTGGTAAAATATATTGCCTAAAGCAAAGTTTGGAATTTAGGAATGAAAGAGCTGCTGAAGGTCCATTGGATCTGTATTTGCAAAATTACAAACACTTTTCAATAATTTTTTATTTACCAGTTGCTAGGTATACTGAGTATTCTGGAGAGCCACAGATAATCACTTTTCATCAATGACAATAAATTAACTACATATGAAAATAAATATATTCCTTCCTATTTTTTATTTCTGTTAAAGTCTGTTTACCTCTTTCTTTACATGCTTCTGCCTCTGTCTTGCTTATCTTACAATATTCAGGAATATTCCAATAAATTTAATGGAATCAGAAAGGAATTGGCAAGAAAAGAGGTAAGATTGCAGTCTAAGGAGTGTTTATATTTGGATCCATAAATCTCTGAAGCAAAAAGTTAATATTTACCTAGCTGTATAATGCTGCAAAAGTATTAACATCCACACTAGTCTTGGAAGAAACTGACTTCTGTCTAAATTTCTAAATTGTACTTGCTTTCAGTAGGAATTTTGATAGGAAACAACTCTCTAATTGCAAATTATTCTAGTTCAGTAACTTTTTGTTCAGTAGTATTGTTTAATTATTTTCTATTGTATATTGAACAGATGCTCAAGAAAGCTATTAATAATGTCAGAAGAATGGCTTCTCATCCAACCTTACCATATTGTAAGTTCAGCTTTGTTTAAAAAAAAAAGTTAAGTTTATATATGTACTTATTGGCTGTGTTTCTTAGTATGCTGCTATTTTGTACTAGCATGGCAATATATTACAGGTATTAAAAGTTGCTTATGAGCCCTATTTTCTGAAACTGTTTTTCATTTGAAAAAAAGACAGAAATACTGAGTGCTGTAACTTCTAGAGATAGAAATATTTTCTAGGGCAAAATACTTTATTTCTGGTTTATTTGTAACTTGAGTGAAAGGTAGGAAAAAGTTACATTATTATCTCAAATTAAATAGCTTCATATTTCAGTACCTTCTAAATACAGTTCTGAATTAAATAATGAGTATACGTACAGTTCAGTGAGGTTTGAGTAGCACAGCGTTAAGTTTCAGTTTCACTGCTACTACAGTATACCAGGTACTATGGCACATATTTTGGCACTGGTTGTTTTGAGGGTGTTGTGAGCTGCGGTGAGATTCCTTACAATTCGGGAAGCAGCCTTTATTGCTGAACCACTGCAAAATGTGTGAAAAGTCATGTAAATATTTTCTGTTGCAGACCTGACAGGTGCTCAAGATGGTAGTGTAAGAATGTTTGAATGGGGTCACGCACAGCAAATCACATGTTTTCGGTCTGGTGGCAACTCAAGGGTAACTCGAATGAGATTCAATTACCAAGGAAATAAGGTAACTGACAAAATGCTTTTGTACTCTACACTCTTCTGTCTCCTCTGCCCTCAAATATAATTGTAAATTTGAAGAATGGCGGCATCAGGAGAAGTGTGGCCAGCAGGTGGAGGGAGGTGATTCTCCCCCTCTACTCTGCTCTGGTGAGACCCCACCTGGAGTACTGCCTCCAGCTCTGGAGCCCCCATTACAAGAGGGACGTGGACCTGCTGGAGTGTGTCCAGAGAAGGGCCACGAGAATGATCCGAGGGCTGGAGCAGCTCTCCTACGAGGACAGACTGAGAGAGTTGGGGCTGTTCAGTCTGGAGAAGAGAAGGCTCCGAGGTGACCTTATTGTGGCCTTCCAGTATCTTAAGGGGGCCTACAAGAAACCTGGGGAGGGATTTTTTAGGATATGGTGTAACGACAGGACTAGGGGGAATGGGGCAAAGCTGGAAGTGGGCAGATTCAGGCTGGATGTGAGGAAGAAGTTCTTCCCCATGAGAGTGGTGAGACCCTGGAGTGGGTTGCCCAGGGTGGTGGTTGAGGCCCCATCCCTGGGGTTCTTTAAGGCCAGGCTGGATGAGGCTCTGGGCAGCCTGATGTAGTGGGAGGTGTCCCTGCTCATGGCAGAGGGGTTGGAACTGGGTGATCCTTGGGGTCCCTTCCAACACTGACAGATTCTGATTCTGTTTTAGCAGAGGACTTAGTAGTGTTGGCTTGATGGTTAGACTTGATGATCTTAAAGGTCTCTTCCAACCTAAAGTATTCTATGATTCTATGATATTTCTGCTAATCTGAAGCTGTTTCTCTGAATTGTGGATAATTTCTCTGTAATACATAAGCATTTACAAATTTTGTTTTTTTTCAGTTTGGAATTGTTGATGCTGATGGATATATAAGTTTATATCAAACAAATTGGAAATGTTGCCCACTTACTGGAACTTCACCTAAACCATATTTGGTAAGCTGAAAACTCTCTTTGCTGACATAAACTTCTGTTGTGTTCTCTTATTTCCTTATTCCTTTATATTAGTTGAGAGAGGGAAGGGGGTTGTGCTGATCTCAAGGATTGATCGAGATTTAGTAATATATTGTTGCCATCCTGTGACCTGTATGGCAAACAAGTTCTTAAATCCTAATTATACTTACTAAGTTGGAGGGGAAAAAATGCAGTGTTAGAGCTGAAAGAAATTTCATGTTGTTTGAGACTTGTCAGTAATTGTCAGTTCTTAATTAATTGTCAATAACACAAGACTGGAAGGTATATTTCCTTGAAAAAATCAAGAATATCAGAAGGCAAACACATAACTTTATATCCTGTGTTCTTTAAGTTGTATGTAATACAGCTTATTTTCTTGAGGAAGTTTAAGACTTCATGCTTACATAAAATCTGTTTCTTTTTTAATCAATAATTTCTAAACTGGCTTTTTTTCAGACGTGGCAATGTCATAACAAAACAGCCAATGACTTTGTTTTCATCAGTTCATCATCTTTGATAGCTACAGCAGGATTGTCTTCTGACAACAGGTAAGAACTGCTGTGATAATGCATAAGAATAAAGTGGTGTGATGTTTTCTTTGCTTCCCTCCTCCCTGTCCCCTATTTTTTTTTTTACGGTTCTTTTTAAGCAGTTTAAGACCAGCAGCATACTTCTGATCTCTTTTTTTTTCTCCATGGGAGGGGGAGAGAAGCAACGTTTGCAGCTAAATTCAATGTGCCTGTTAAAAGAGGTTTCATAAGAAAGCACAAGTCCTCTTTTCACGCACTGTATGAGGCAGAAAAGTGTAGTCAGAGGTGCTGATTTCTTCTCCCTGTTACCCTGTGACAGGACACATGGGAATGGTTCAGAGCTGCACACCTTGGACACCAGGAAGCATTTCTTTACTATGAGGGTGGTCAAACTCTGGAACAGGTTTCATAGAGAGTTGGTCAGTGCCACAAGCTTGCCAGTGTGTAAGAGGGGTTTCGACAGTGCCCTTAACATGCTTTAGGTTTTCATAGCACTGAAGTGCAGTTGAACTGGGTGATCATCGTAGGTCCATTCCAACTGAACTGTTCTATCTGTATGAGCCTGTCTTAAATTCTTCTTATGGATAAGGGAGTTGTGCACAGCTCTTCACTTCACCCTTATTTTCTTAAATTTTGATCAAGACATAGCAAAACCTGCTAACATTCAGGTGAATTCAGGTACAAAAGATTGTAATCTTAATATGACTCCTACGTAAGAATAACCAGTAATGGGATGATGGTGTAGAGGGCACATTCTTGCAGTATATGTATAACAACGTAATTTAGGATCTGCTCAAAAGGAATCGTTGAATGCCTGTTTACAGTGCCTGAAGCAATCTTTTTAAAGTTCAGATGACTTTTCAGATGTTCAAAATACTTAAGTACATTTGTCACTGAATTAAAACTTTCATTTTTCTGTAGAAATATTTGTCTTTGGGATACTTTGGTTTCACCTACAAATAGCTTGGTGCACGGTAAGTAAAACACAACCGGAAAAATATTTGATCTCAATAAGCAATATGTATGTGTGAGTCTGCCTTTATGGAAAATTTAATGTGGGAAATAGTGTTAATATTAGCAGTAGAACATCTTTCACTGTCCTATGTGAGTGCACCAGCAGG